CAGATAAACTAGCACTTTCCTACAGTGGTTCCAAGGCTGAAAATCTTTATGGAAATAGACTGCCATATCTTTCTCTCACAATGTGTGTGGGTCAGTTAAAACTGCCATACTTTTGGTTAGCAACTGTGTATTTTAAAAGGCTCTAGTTAAACCTAGAGGCTCCACGTTGCCACGAGGGCCCCTCTGTTCTTGCTCTAGGGCCCTCCAGTTTCTGGACAAAATGTAAGGATACACTAGCAATGTACAATTAAGGACACTACCAAGTGACTCTTTCCCAGAATCTCCTAAGTGTATTCACCAATTGTATATTTTCCGGTGAGTCTCTTGAGGTTTCTGGCTTATGTGACTCATGTATTTCTCTTCCAATACAATTGACCTTCAGAAAAAGATATGCAGTTTAAATCAGTCCATTGGGACATCTAAGAGCCCTCATTTATACTTCAGTTTCTACTGTGAATTAAGCAAAACTTCTCTTCTCCCACACCCAAAACAGAATCTATACGGATCCTGGCAACAACCCCTTCTCTGGTACCTCCTATTTATTATCCATCACTCACAAACTGTGCATTCCAACTAATTTTAAATATTAAATTTAGCTTTGTAGTCTTTGCTCATAGTTCTATATGTTATGAACATGGCATTTCAAGAAAGTACCCTGATATGATTCAGTCAAAGAGATGATTAATGGTTTTCCAGGAAATGTGGATGCAAGTCTGAATAATAAGAAAATTATATTAAACTTGATTGTCTAACAGAAGGTTAATAATTTCAATGATGGTGTTGCTGGTGGTGGGGAAACAAGGAACAAAACTGAGAGAATCAACTCCTAAATAAGAATAATAATCATTTCTTAAATTAACCAATTCCTCTCTCAAACTCTAAACTCACTGCCATTGAGTTGAATCCAACTGATAGGAACCATATAGTAGCATACTTTAATTTTCCTTGAAAAGTAGTGACAAAGGGTACACTTCAAAGGAACTTTGACTTCATGCCTAAGCAGAGACGTAAGAGCTCTGATACATTAGGCAGCGTACCAAAGGAGTTTGTGGAATAGGATCAGTAAATATCACAATTATAAGGAAAAGAGCTTAAGATGAAAACAGATTTTTATTTAATCACATGGGTAAAAGTCCCTTTGTTATTTTAGGAATCCTTTGTAAAGAACACACGTGACATTTAAAAATATCCTAATAAGTTTGGAATCAATAAACTTATTATTAGTATTGCAGTACATCAATCCTTTATAAAATGAAAGCAAAATATTTGAAGAATAAAGTCACTTCTTTAGAACATAATAATATTAGAAATATATGTGTAATGTTACCTCTAGTGATGTTATGAAAAAATTTAGGTATAAACAATAAGTAAACCAGTGAATACATTTATTTAGACAAACGAATAACCTCCTATTTATCTAATCAGATTAAAACTTCGTCTTTCATCATTTTTTTGCCTTCTTACTTCCAATGTTCTTTATTTCATAGCATTTAAGTCACTCAAAATGTTATAAGTAATACAGTCGGATAACCTTCAGAATCTTGTTTGGAAGAATTTACACTTGTACATCTAGCTTATGTTCTTTGAGTTTACTTTTCCTAGTAACTTCAGCTTCAAAAAGTCTTTGACATTATAAAGTCCTTTAATTCATCAACTCCAAAACCTTTACTCTATATTATGACCTGACCTATTTCAGCAGTTTAGAAAATATTTTCCATCACTATAATTACAGCCCTGTGTTTACACTGCACACTTATGATTTTCTCTTTCTTAATTCAAATGATGCATTTTTTCTAAACCTAATGATTTACTCTGCTACAACAACTGAATAAGACCTCCAAAAAACACAAAATGGTTCTTGTTGATTCTGTCTTATCTACAGTCCTCAAGTGGACGATCATTGTGCATTATTATTCAAATTTGGTAACAGCTTTGGTGAAGCATTATGCTGCTATCAGAAAGGCCAGTGGTTAAACCTTAGCAGCTTCTCTGTGAGTGAAAGATAAGTCCACCTGCTTCCTTAAGGATTTACAGCCTCAGAACCCCAAGGGAGCAGTTCTTCTCTGTCCTATAGGGTTGCTGTTAGTGTGAGTGGACTAGATGACAGTGGATTTGGCTTGGAAACCACCCTTCTGAGGAGCCTGGCATCACAAGAGGGTCATGCTGTGGACTGCTAATCACAAGTCAGCAGTTCAAACCCACCAGCCATTCTTTGGGTGAAAGATGAAGTTTTCTGCTCTCATGAAGATTATAGCTTCAGAGACCCACAGGAGCCAGTTCAGCTCTGTCCATACACACACTGTGAGTCAAAATTGACTGTATGGCAGTGAGTTTAGCGAACCACCTGGAAGAGGTTTTTTGTGACAACATGGTTCCCATAGGAACCTGTGGGTGGAGTGTAGCCTGTCAATCAGGTGGCAGCTTGATTGAAGGGCAACCAAGATAGATACATGGCTCTCAGAGGCCAGCCTCTTCCTCTTTTTCCCTGTAGTCAGGCCACACTCTCTCTCTTCCTGTTGCAGAGCCATGCTGAGAGCTGCCAGAGCGCTGTGATTGCACCACTGCCATTGGATCCACAAGACTTTGCACCCCCCAGTTGGTGATGTTCCTGTATTGCATTCTGCATTGTTGCATGTGGCTGTGTGAGTCTGAAGAGGGACCTATGGACTAGTATCGGATTTATGGACTAACATTGGACTTAAGGATTTGATATGGAGTGGGCTGGGAGGTTTGCTTGATATATAATTACTTCTTAATATAAAGCTCTCTCTTACACATATATGTGAGTGTCGCTGGATTTCTTTGTTGAGTCAATCTAGCCCAACACACCACTCTTCTTTCTTGTGACACAATTTATTGTCTTTAATCTCCCAACACTTTCAACTGTTAGGATCAGGAAATGATTATTATCTTTTCTATTTCATAAGAAAACAGAAGAAACTCCAAGAGCATTTTCTCATTTTCTCACCACGACCACATCACTGCAATGACCCTTGCCGTGCTGTGTCCTCTCATTAAGTTAGATGGCCTGCCATTACTCCAATTTAAATTTGACTTCTCTGTTTCTGACCTGAATCATATTTTCTTCCATGTATACAAGAAGTTGCTCTTGCCATTACATCATCCTATACTGCCTCAGACAGCCTTCCTTCCTCTGGTAAGACCTCCC